TAACCCAGTGTATAATAGGGGAGTAAAGTGATTAAAGAATGATGGATAAGGGAGGTTGTTATGGGTTTCATGGTTTTGAACGGGGGTAACTTGGTTTATGAGTGATGAATAAGTAAGTGGTTAGTGAGAATGAGTAAAGGATTTATTTAAATGATGGGCAAGTATAGTGAGAAAACAATGTGGTTATGAGTAAAAATGGTTCAGAGAGGTGAGAAAAATGGTGTGTGCAAGATGGGGTCAAAAAAAGTGGTTTATGAAAAGTTGGGGGAACTGTCTTGGGGGACGAGTAAAGAGCCTGGTATATGAGCGATGAGTGAGTAACCTGGGATTGGTGATGGGGATGCCTGGTATAGTTGATGGGAAGTAACCTGTACATTGCAGAGTACTTGTTTGCACAGAAATGTAAAGCTCAAATGATGGTTTTGGGAAATTTTAGCAGTAAAGGTCGAAACAAAACCCAGTCATTTGATGTCTACAAAACCTCCGGTTTCAACATCCCCGCAATTCCAGGAACAGTGTTAAAATTGACCCCTGTTGGGAAAACCTTCCCGCTCCCGCACCCAACATCTTGTCCCGGGGGTTTTTAATTAAGGCACCCAAAATGGAGGAATTTTTGCAAATAAAATTGTTCGTAAAAACAAGGAGGCCCGCTCTGATAAAATCACACTCACGCGAAACTTTAAATTCTGACAAAAATTTAATTTAAACCAGCAAATAATGAGCCTACTAGGGCTGGAGAAAACACTAGACCCCCATTTCACAACAATGATGATCTGATAAGAATATACCCCTATCAAAACAATTATCAGATCACAAATAATTTAGGTTTTGTCATGTATGCGCGGAGCCCCCGCCCAATAAAGAGATTAGTCACGAGGGGGAAACATTCACCAAATTCAACTTCAATAAAAAAAACATAAAATGGGGCCAAGTAAACCAAGTCCTAACCCATATAAGTGGGAAAAATATATAAGCAAAAACGACCCCCAATTATGCCTAGAAAAGATTAACTCGGTAGCACTCGTGTATGCACAAGGTTATTCCTCTAAGAAAAAAGGAGAGTAGATGTAAAACAGAAAGAGACAGGCGCTCCCTTTACAGGCGACGGAAAAGAATAACAGAGCGGCTAAAAGAGGTCAATATATCTGAAATGCGTAGGAGACACTGGTCAGAGAAATAGCAAGCATCGAACTTAAGCTAAAAGAATCCTTTAGGAGTCAGGAATCGCGGGAAGAACTAAAAGCCATAAATGAAATCGAAAGAAACCCAAAGTATTTCTTCTCCATGCCAAATCAAAATCGAGAACAACGTCCAGTATTGGGCCCCTACTTAAACAAGATGGGTCCTACACAGATGACAACAAGAAATGAGTGAGCTACTCAAGTCCCAATATGACTCAGTTTTTAGCAAGCCGCTAACCAGACTGAGAGTCGAAGATTCAAAATGAATTTTTTATGAGAGAGCCACAAAATTTGATTAACACAAGCCTATCCGATGTTATCCTGACGCCAAATGACTTCGAACAGGCGATAAATGACATGCCCATGCACTCTGCCCCAGGGCCAGACTCATGGAACTCTGTGTTCATCAAGAACTGCAAGAAGCCCCTATCACGAGCCTTTTCCATCCTATGGAGAGGGAGCATGGACACGGGGGTCGTCCCACAGTTACTAAAACAACAGACATAGGGCCCCCCCACAAAGGGGGCAGTAAAGCAAAAGCAAAGAACTACAGACCAATAGCACTAACATCCCATATCATAAAAATCTTTGAAAGGGTCCTAAGAAGCAAGATCACCACGCATCTAGAAAACCCATCAGTTACACAACCCAGGGCAACATGGGTTTAGAACAGGTCGCTCCTGTCTGTCTCAACTATTGGATCACTTTCGACAAGGTCCTAAATGCACTAGAAGACAAAAAGAATGCAGATGTAATATATACAGACTTTGCAAAAGCCTTCGAAAAAGTGTGACCATGGCGTAATAGCGCACAAAATGCGTGCTAAAGGAATAACAGGAAAAGTCGGTCGATGGATCTATAATTTCCTCACTAACAGAACACAGAGAGTAGTCGTCAACAGAGTAAAGTCCGAGGCAGGGTACGGTGAAAAGCTCTGTTCCACAAGGCACAGTACTCGCTCCCATCTTGTTCCTCATCCTTATATCCGACATAGACAAGGATGTCAGCCACAGCACCGTGTCTTCCTTTGCAGATGACACCCGAATCTGCATGACAGTGTCTTCCATTGCAGACACTGCAAAGCTCCAGGCAGACATCAACCAAATCTTTCAGTGGGCTGCAGAAAACAATATGAAGTTCAACGATGAGAATTTCAATTACTCAGATATGGTAAACATGAGGAAATTAAATCTTCATCAGAGTACAAAACAAATTCTGGCCACAAAATAGAGCGAAACACCAACGTCAAAGACCTGGGAGTGATCATGTCGGAGGATCTCACCTTCAAGGACCATAACATTGTATCAATCGCATCTGCTAGAAAAATGACAGGATGGATAATGAGAACCTTCAAAACTAGGGAGGCCAAGCCCATGATGACACTCTTCAGGTCACTTGTTCTATCTAGGCTGGAATATTGCTGCACACTAACAGCACCTTTCAAGGCAGGTGAAATTGCCGACCTAGAAAATGTACAGAGAACTTTCACGGCGCGCATAACGGAGATAAAACACCTCAATTATTGGGAGCGCTTGAGGTTCCTAAACCTGTATTCCCTGGAACGCAGGAGGAGAGATACATGATTATATACACCTGGAAAATCCTAGAGGGACTAGTACCGAACTTGCACACGAAAATCACCCACTACGAAAGCAAAAGACTTGGCAGACGATGCACCATCCCCCAATGAAAAGCAGGGGTGTCACTAGCACGTTAAGAGACCATACAATAAGTGTCAGGGGCCCGAGACTGTTCAACTGCCTCCCAGCCACAATAAGGGGGATTACCAACAGACCCCTGGCAGTCTTCAAGCTGGCACTGGACAAGCACCTAAAGTCAGTTCCGGATCAGCCGGGCTGTGGCTCGTATGTTGGTTTGCGTGCAGCCAGCAGCAACAGCCTGGTTGATCAGGCTCTGATCCACCAGGAGGCCTGGTCTCAGACCGGGCCGCGGGGGCGTTGACCCCCGGAACTCTCTCCAGGTAAACTCCAGGTATGAGTGACGGGAAAGTAACCTGGTATATGAGTGATGGGTAAGTAACCTGGTACATGAGTGACAGGTAAGTAACCTGGTATATGAGTGATGGGTGAGTAACCTGGTATATGAGTGATGGGTGAGTGACCTACTATATGAGTGATGGGTAAGTAACCTGGTATATGAGCGACGGGAAAGTAACCTGGTATATGAGTGATGGGTGAGTAACCTGGTATATGAGTGATGGGTAAGTAACCTGGTATATGAGTGACGGGAAAGTAACCTGGTATATGAGTAATGGGTGAGTAACCTGGTATATGAGTGATGGGTGAGTAACCTGGTATGTGAGTGATGGGTGAGTAACCTGGTATATGAGTGATGGGCGAGTAACCTGGTATATGAGTGATGAATGAGTAACCTGATGAGTTATGTGTGAGTAGCCTGGTGTAAAATGATGGGGGAGTAACCTGGTGTAAAGTGATGGGTAAGTAACCTGCTATAAGAATGATGGGTAACCTGGTATATGAATGACAGGTAACCTTTTATATGCATGATGGGTGAATAACCTTGGTATATGCATGATGGATGAATAACCTTGGTATATGCATGATGGATGAATAACCTTGGTATATGCATGATGGATGAATAACCTTGGTATATGCATGATGGATGAATAACCTTGGTATATACATGATGGATGAATAACCTTGGTATATACATGATGGGTGAATAACCTTGGTATATGCATGATGGATGAATAACCTTGGTATATACATGATGGGTGAATAACCTTGGTATATACATGATGGATGAATAACCTTGGTATATACATGATGGGTGAATAACCTTGGTATATACATGATGGGTGAATAACCTTGGTATATACATGATGGGTGAATAACCTTGGTATATACATGATGGATGAATAACCTTGGTATATGCATGATGGATGAATAACCTTGGTATACACATGATGGATGAATAACCTTGGTATATGCATGATGGATGAATAACCTTGGTATATGCATGATGGATGAATAACCTTGGTATATACATGATGGATGAATAACCTTGGTATATGCATGATGGGTGAATAACCTTGGTATATGCATGATTTATGAATAACCTTGGTATATACATGATGGGTGAATAACCTTGGTATATACATGATGGGTGAATAACCTTGGTATATACATGATGAGTGAATAACCTTGGTATATACATGATGGATGAATAACCTTGGTATATGCATGATGGATGAATAACCTTGGTATATACATAATGGATGAATAACCTTGGTATATACATGATGGGTGAATAACCTTGGTATATACATGATGGGTGAATAACCTTGGTATATACATGATGGGTGAATAACCTTGGTATATACATGATGGGTGAATAACCTTGGTATATACATGATGAGTGAATAACCTTGGTATATACATGATGGATGAATAACCTTGGTATATGCATGATGGATGAATAACCTTGGTATATACATAATGGATGAATAACCTTGGTATATACATGATGGGTGAATAACCTTGGTATATACATGATGGGTGAATAACCTTGGTATATACATGATGGATGAATAACCTTGGTATATGCATGATGGATGAATAACCTTGGTATATGAGTGATGGGTAAATAACCTTGGTATATGCATGATGGGTGAATAACCTTGGTATATGCATGATGGGTGAATAACCTTGGTATATGCATGATGGGTGAATAACCTTGGTATATGCATGATGGATGAATAACCTTGGTATATGCATGATGAATGAATAACCTTGGTATATGCATGATGGGTGAATAACCTTGGTATATGCATGATGGATGAATAACCTGGGTGTATGAGTGATGGGTGAGGAGGAAGGTTCAGTAGCAGTGTGAGTGAAGCAGTGAATCCCTCCCTCCTGGTGTCCTGCCAGACGGTCGTCTACTCTGCCGAAATGTTTCGCCGGGCCACCATTCTTGTCCCTTACAAGTAAGACAATCTCTCTCATTGACAACATGAAGGCTCAGGGAGGGCAGGAAACCCTGGTTCTTCCAGCCATAATGTTGGTGGACCAGTCCGGCGAGTGTGGTACAGGAATTATGGTGGAAATATGAGGGATGCCCAATCCGGCTACAGCATCAGCTGATGTATTATTATTATTATTATCACAGGGAAGAGCTAAACCCGTAGGGTTATACAGTGCATGTGGGGGGGATGGGAGGTATTCAGGCTCAATTCAGGGAATGGAGCACAGATCCAATTCCCTAGATCAAGAGCCCCTCACCCTCAGCTGATGTAGACTGTTTACGGGAGATTAAAATTTACAGCTCGTTCACAACCCTCACGGGTGTGTCTTGATGATTTTCAGTGGCTCTTGCTCCAAGGAACTGGATCTGCCTTCTGAATTGAGCCTGATTGCCTCCCATTCATCCAGGTGTTATACAATTCAATGGAAAATAAGTCTTGCAACTTCCCTTTGAGTTAATCTAGCTTACCTTGAAGTAGTTTTCAATATAGGAATTAAGGTACCCTAAAATCAAACATTTAAATCGAATCTCCACTTAATGGCTCAAATCTCATAGCCTCCCATTCCTAGGTGCTGTATGACGTACGGGGTTAGCGCTTCTACCTAAAATTCAAGATCATAGACCCTTGTGGGTTTATTTAGTTTTGATTGTAATATAACCCTTCAAGGGGATTTCTTTGATGCTGCTGAAGCACTTCTGATGCCAAGAAACCCCTCAAGGAAGGTTCCTTGATGCTGTGAGGGGCTCTTGATCTAGGGAATTGGATCTGTGCTCCAGAATTAACTCTGAATTAACCCTGAATTAACTCTGAATACCTTCTACATCAACCCCTTCACAGGCGCTATAATTCTACGGTTTAGCACTTTCCCCTTAATTATAATAATGATGCAAAGAGTTTGACCTGCCCTACCTCTCCTTGGATCGAACCTGATTGCCTCCAGTTTCCCCAGGAACTGTGACCCAAGTGGGATTAGCACACCTATATGAAAAAATGTATATCCTCTTTATTCATTTTTCCATTTATACATTTGTCATTTTTTTTAACACATTGGCCGTTTCCCACCAAGGCAGGGTGGCCCAAAAAAGAAAAACTTTCATCATTCACTCCATCACTGTCTTGCCAGAGGCATGCTTACACTACATTAACACCCCTTCAGAGTGCAGACACTGTACTTACCATCTCCAGGAATCAAATCTGGCCTGCAGGTTTTCCTGAATCCCTTCATAAATGTTACCTTGCTTACGACAGCACGTAAAGTCCTAAAAACCATTTGTCTTCATTCGTTCCTATCTAACACGCTCGTGCATGCTTGCTGGAAGTCCAAGCCCCTTGCACACAAAACCTCTTTCACCCCCTCCTTAAGTCATATTCTATTTAATTCAACATCTGAAGAGAATAAGCAAATTCAGTGCCTTCAGTCTATAGTAATAACTACACATTATTAGTATAGGCATACAATGGTGATAATTGGAGAAAGGAACATGAGAGAGCAGGAGGGGAAGAGGAAGCAGGGAGCTATGGGGAGAGTGAAGAGGAAATGGAGAGGGGACTGAGGGAAATTAAGGGAGGGGATGGAGAGAGAGGGGAGGGAGGGAGATTGGAGAAGAGGAGGGAGAGGGGAGGGAGGGAGATTGGAGAAGAGGAAGGAGAGGGGAGGGAGGGAGATTGGAGAAGAGGAGGGAGAGGGGAGGGAGGGAGATTGGGAAAAAAATGGGGAGAGAGGTAGATAGCGAGGAAAAAGAAAAGATTGCATTTAATTACATATTCACAGTAGAAGTACTATACGTTATATAAAGTACTACTGAACTCTGTGGGTTATTCAGCTTAAGGAATGATGGAGGCACAATCTTTAGTTTGCTAATTAAGTCATTGCAACACATCTGCCAGGGTATACCTTCATATACTTTTGAGTTTCAAGAGTTCATGGCCAGGCTCATCTGGGCTGGTCAACCAGGCTGTTGCTGCTGGTAGCCTGCTGCCCTACATGTCCATCACAGCCTGGCTGTCTGGCACCTGGTGAGGATAAATGTCAAACTTAAGGGTTTTGACGGGAAGAATCCAGGCATCCATTTTTAAATGGGCGAGTGGTACCCCCATATCACCAGAGGTATATACTATATAGGTTTAGGAATCCCCAGGTTTTGTTGTGAGGCAATTACAGATGAAAGAATAAAGTTTGTCCAGTATTCTTCAGGCAGTAACCAGATGTGAAATGTTTATTTTTGTAGGGTATGGAGTGCATTTTTATACAAGAGTGTTCATGTTCTTGTGGCTTTTTGATCAAACGACTAATTAACTGAAATAATTTACTCTGCATTAAACTTAACTGTAAACTACAGTAAATGAGTGATGATTTTAAACTAGAACTTCGGAAAAGTAAGTAACTGTTGCTTAATCGTATTACAGATAGTACAGGTGGAGCTGAAAAATTGGAGATTAAGGCTAATAATATCAGTGTTAAATTTAAATACTTTATATCTTTTAGCCATTTGAATTCCTGTGTTGAATTTTAGTTAAAACTTTCAGGCTCAGTGTAACTGCTAAACTTAACTGGGAATGACTAGGTGGGTCGAGTGCTTTCTGCAAACTTTTTTTAAGAATGTTGGATAGCATTAATATATGTATTATACGTATTTTTTTGGTACAGTGGGCAACAGCAGGTGCGTAGTATGGCCACCTTGAAGGCCATTGCTATGCGCCTGAAGTCTGTTAAGAACATCCAGAAGATTACACAGTCTATGAAGATGGTGTCAGCAGCTAAATATGCTCGAGCTGACAGAGAGTTGAAGCCTGCTCGGCCTTATGGTGCTGGAACCACTGCATTCTATGAGAAGGTAATTGATTGCTTTAGTTGAATTACCAGACAAAAAAAGCTGGAAAATAAACAAACATAAAGAATGTATGCTTACACCTTTTGCTCCTGTTCATCTAGTAGTAAGTAGGTATCTGGGTGTTACCCAACTTTTGTGGGTCATCCAGTGGAAGAGAATCCAAGGACCCCAATGGAAATAAGTCATTGACTTTCTTTGGGTTAAAACCCTCCTGATTAATAGGGCGAAAGCAATCATTTTATATATACCATAGGCGCCTTTTCCTAAAAAGTCTCTCTTGCAGTTCTGAAAATTCTGTTTTTCTCATTTTGGGAATTTTGTCTAAGAATAGCCTCTAATTAAAAATTTTGAATAGCAACTCCCCTGTTCGACAAACACTATAAAAGGAATTTATCTAATAGGAAGACTTCAAATGGTAAGTCTCTTTTAGGACCTTTGTCTCTGGTGGGGAAAAATTCACCAAAGGTAAAAATCTGGAATGGTAAAACACACTCCTTATGTTTGGGACATTGTGAAAAGAAATAGTACTCGAATGTCTTGGAATTATTGCCTGACTCAAATGCTAGGTCATCTTTACTTTAGAATGTGTATTTGTAATCTTGCACATTTATTGCAAGGTCTTTCTTAACATGCTGTACTTTACAAATTATCATAAATTCATATTGCAGCAATTTTAAAATAGTGGACCCCCGGCTTATGATCAGCTCCCAACTCGAACAATTATGTAAGTGTATTTTTGTAAGTCCTTTTGTAAGTGTATTTTTGGGGGTCTGAAACAGATTAATCTAATTTACAATATTCCTTATGGGAGCAAATTCTTTCGGTAACGGCCCCCAAACGGCCTCCTGGAACGAATTAATATCGTAAGCCGGGGGTCCACTGTACTGTATTTTCCATCTACGTACTTACATATATTTTTAATATATTGTATAATAGGCAGAGGTAAAGGGTGAGGAGGAGAAGCCCAACAAGTTAATTGTGGCTTGTACCAGTGACCGAGGCTTGTGTGGTGCAATTCACTCTAACATTTGCAAGCACATTAAGGCAGAGTTGGCACAAGATGCTTCAAAGGCTGCCATCATATGTATTGGTGACAAGTCTCGGGCCCAGCTTTCTAGGTAAGTAACTAAGGCATAGTGGACCTTGTGTTTTGGGGTCACTGCACAGTAAAATTATTGTTTGGTAAAAGTGGCTTTGTATTATGATTTATTAAATTGAAACATTATTAATTTTTTAGTATTTTGATTAGTAAATATTAAAAATACTACTATATGTGTTGTGAATTTTATAAAGTTTTAAAAATTGTTAGCACTCTTGTTAAGCAATATGGTTTGATTTCTAGAGCATGGCAGGATTGCAGAAATTTAGCTATACATAGTTGGAGTTGTAGCCACCAACAATCCCGAGAGTATTCATCTTTGCATTTCTTTAGTTGTGGTAGGTATAGCAGATTTACTGAAGGGTATGTTTACAAAATATCTAGAATTTAATGTAGTTGATAAGTTTACAATACAGATAGGTAGGGCATGTTGTTTACTAGTTAATATCCTACATAAAAATATGATGTAGTATCAGTCATACATTGTAAAATGATATATTAAATCCTAACCCCTCAAGGGAGGTTCCTTGATGCTGGTGAACGGCTCTTGATCTAGGGAATTGGATCTGTGCTCTGATTCCCAGAATTGAGCCTGATTGCCTTCCCCCCCCCCACGTGCTGTATAATCCTACAGGTTTAGCGCTCCCCCATGATTGTAATAATTATAATAAATCCTAGGTATGTCAATTATGCCACTGTATGCATATACAAATGGGCTCAGTGTTACCCGCTAAACTAACGTTTTTGTGTTCTTATAGGAATTTAATTAATTTTTTCATTGGGATGTTTTTGATCCTTCAGTATTATGTCTAGCATTATAGTCTCCGAGAAAAATGGTATGTAGGTTCACAATGTAAATCAAGTAAAGAAATTGCTTAGCTAGAGCATAAATGTTTAAAGATGATTATCAAGAAGATATGTTGCGTATCTTTATACGTATATGCTTCTAAACTGTTGTATTCTGAGCACCTCTGCAAAAACAGTGATTGTGTGAGTGTGGTGAAAGTGTTGAGTGATGATGAAAGCATTTTCTTTTTGGGGATTTTCTTTCTTTTTTGGGTCACCCTGCCTCGGTGGGAGACGGCCGACTTGTTGAAAAAAAAAAAAAAATCAAGAAGTTGCCTGCACGTACTTTTAACACCAAGATATTGCATATTTTCTCAGCTTTGCAGGCTGAGTGCATGTAGCAAAGTCTTTCTAACATATATTACACAACAATTATTTCATCTAGTGTTATATGTGGCATATCTAGGCAACCCTAGAGGAGGTTCTCCATCTTGTAGTCTATGCTTGCAAACATTAAATCAGTATTCTTGGTTGCAATAATGTGATGCAAGTCAGGCAATCACTTCTTCGTGGAAGTAATGTATCATAAATAATTTGTAACCTATCCACCATAGTCATTGATCAGTCTCTCTCTTGTTAGATGGTAAGGCTGTTATTTTGCAACTTTTTTTTTTAAACAAGTCGGCCGTCTTCCACCGAGGCAGGGTGACCCAAAAAAGAAAGAAAATCCTCAAAAAGAAAATACTTTCACCTCACTCACACATAATCACTGTTATTGCAGAGGTGCTCAGAACACAACAGTTTAGAAGCATATACATATAAAGATACACAACATATCCCTCCAAACTGCTAATATCCTGAACCCCACCATTTAGATTGCAGGCACTGTACTTCCCATTTCCAGGACTCAAGTCCGGCTATATAAAAATAACTGTTTCCCTGAATCCTTTCAACTATAGTGTGCAAATATTTAAGAGCAAACAACATAGTTTGCATATTTGACATACCAGCATTGAGAAAGTAGAAATTAATAAAACTATTTTCAATCAAAATATGTTTGTATGTATTGTAGTTTAAATGGTGTATTGTATTTTTAATGAATATAAATTATGAATTTTTATAAATAGCCTTTTGAAAATTCTTATTTCAGAAATATATAGGATGGTTTATTATAAATATTTTGCTTTTACAGGTTATACGCTAAAAATATTATTGCTCAGGTTGGAGAGGTTGGACGTAAACCTTCCACATTCGAAGATGCCGCTAGAATTGCTACACTCATCCTAAACTTGGGCTATGATTTTGGTTCTGGTACACTTGTCTACAACAGATTCAGGTAAGTGCAGCATTTATCTTTAAAACAGCCCACCAGAAAACTTAGTGCTCATCATTAAGGTAATGCCTACCCTGGTAGAGTTGTTGATGAGACACAGTTTTGCTGGCCTGGCAGCTTGAAGTGGGATGTCTCGGGATGCTCTAAGGCTACTGGCTGCATCCTAGGTCCATTCTAGGCTGGAGTGGTGAATGGATTTATGTCTGTGGTCCTGAGTGCTGAGTTTGTTGGACATTTTTGGCTATTGGTGAATTAATATGGGCAGGAGTAAGTCGCTGACACAAGACTCTTTCACAGATCAGTGGATTACATAATGAAGAAAATAATAGAAACATCTACGTGTGCATCTCCAGTGAGGACCTAGTTGCATTGGCTCCTTGAGAAAGTGTTGATGGCATGGTTCACACCAAAAGCATGTCCACGGAAACCTAGGAAAGCTTCCCCCATTAACAGCTGAAATAATGTACCTAGAATTGCTCTGGGATCATTTGTCTGAATCTTACACAGTGTGATGCAAGGTTTTTTGCAAGACAGTGGTCCTAGCCTCACTGCAAAATCTGTTCATTGGCTTTGTACTTGTGAGGTACCCTTCTTTGATAACTGGCCAGGAAATTGACCAGATTTAAATTCCAGTGAGAACTTCCAGACTATGATTGAGATCTACTAGGGTAAGGGCATCAACCCATTCTCACAGCTTTAAGATGCCATCCACAAGTCATAATCAAGTCTAAATGACTTCCATTCTTCCCAGGCGCTGTATAACCTCTATGGGTTTAGCGTTTCTCCAAGAAATTCCACAAGACGTGGAGGAATTTACACCATGAAACCTTGAAGAATGTGTGTAAAATTACTTCCTAGATGGTTGAAGGATGTTCTAAAGCTCAAGAGATGACCTATTTGTTGTAGTTTTAGGGAAAGGTCAACACTTTAATGATGAGCTCTGCTTATATGTACACTGTACTTGTACCTTGATGTGGCATTGTCTGGTACTGTAGTCATCTCCAAATGTTTTGACTGCCTTCATGCTACAGCTTTAAAGGAAAACTTGAAGTATGTTAAATTCTGTAGTTTTACCTTTTGGAGTTTCCTATAAAGTGAAAGTTGCCATTTACATGTCCAATGAGAAGGGAAGAGAGTGCAAGAAAGAGAAAACTGTTTCCTCTCAAAAGCACATTAGGAACAGGAAAAGATATGCCCTTACAAATGTTTTTTTTTTTTTTTTTTATTATCACACCGGCCGATTCCCACCAAGGCAGGGTGGCCCGAAAAAGAAAAACTTTCACCATCATTCACTCCATCACTGTCTTGCCAGAAGGGTGCTTTACACTACAGTTTTTAAACTGCAACATTAACACCCCTCCTTCAGAGTGCAGGCACTGTACTTCCCATCTCCAGGACTCAAGTCCGGCCTGCCGGTTTCCCTGAATCCCTTCATAAATGTTACTTTGCTCACACTCCAACAGCACGTCAAGTATTAAAAACCATTTGTCTCCATTCACTCCTATCAAACACGCTCACGCATGCCTGCTGGAAGTCCAAGCCCCTCGCACACAAAACCTCCTTTACCCCTCCCTCCAACCCTTCCTAGGCCGACCCCTACCCCGCCTTCCTTCCACTACAGACTGATACACTCTTGAAGTCATTCTGTTTCGCTCCATTCTCTCTACATGTCCGAACCACCTCAACAACCCTTCCTCAGCCCTCTGGACAACAGTTTTGGTAATCCCGCACCTCCTCCTAACTTCCAAACTACGAATTCTCTGCATTATATTCACACCACACATTGCCCTCAGACATGACATCTCCACTGCCTCCAGCCTTCTCCTCGCTGCAACATTCATCACCCACGCTTCACACCCATATAAGAGCGTTGGTAAAACTATACAGTAGTTAAACTATTAATGGAAAAGGCTATGTGATGGAGAAAATGTATGAGCCTTTGTGGTAAATGTGGATGATAAAATCTTCTAAGCCATTTTTTTTTCTCTTGCAAACTGCTGATTAAAAACAACTTGTTCAAAAATTACTTTTATTAAAGAATCTATGTAATACAGTGGACCCCCGCTTAACGATTACCTCCTAATGCGACCAATTATGTAAGTGTATTTATGTAAGTGCGTTTGTACATGTATGTTTGGGGGTCTGAAATGCACTAATCTACTTCACAATATTCTTTATGGGAACAAATTCGGTCAGTACTGGCACCTGAACATACTTCTGGAATGAAAAAATATCGTTAACTGGGGGTCCACTGTATTTGTCATAAACCTGTAAAATGGAAAGTTATCTAAAGTTTTTTGAAAGTGCATTTGTTTAATTTAAAGTTCAATTTCTAGATAATGATCCTTAAATATGTTTGCCAACAGGACTGTGGTATCGTATGATACAAAAGAGCTGCCTTTTTATTCTGCCACAGCCATTGCAAATGCAGAAAAGATCTCTCTGTATGACTCGCTTGATGCTGATGTAATTCAGTCTTACATGGAATACTCCCTGGCTTCTCTCATTTTCTACGTATTGAAGGAAGGTGCATGCTCAGAACAATCCTCAAGAATGACTGCCATGGACAGTGCCAGTAAGAATGCAGGTGAGTTGCATTGATATGATTAAGGAAAAGTGTGTAATATTTAATTTAAAAAATTGGGTAAACATTTATTTGAGAGCATGAACTAGTGTAGAAACCCCTTTATGGTTTTCTTATGTGCTGATGTCCATCCAGCCTTCACGTAACTAATTTTTTTAGTTTGTTTTTACTTGTTTACTCCTTTTCTTGCATTTAATTTTATTTTATAATAGATTAATTTCCTATTGGTAAAATTCTAGATACCAGATCTCTAAAGCTGTCATCACTATTATCCCATTTCTTGCTTTCACTTGGTAAAACCCACGATGAGAATAAAAATATAGAAAAGGAGGGTTAAAGATAGTACTGCATTATGAAATGACACGCGTAACTATGTAATGTAACAGTAATAATACTGCAGGAACTGGTGCCCTCCTACTATGTTTCACTCCCGATTAATCAAACTGGTGGTAGAGGTTGCTATACTACAAATGCACAGTAGCATTGTGATTGTAGTGCCATTGTACACATAATATCCACAGCAATATTTTTGGTATATATTAATAAATATAATTGAACATTGTGTTTCAGGAGAGATGATTGACAAGCTGACTTTGACATACAACCGCACTCGCCAAGCAGTCATCACTGGAGAGCTGATTGAGATCATCTCTGGTGCAGCTGCTGTTTAAGTGATGGGTCTCTGTCTGCCTCCTGTAAATTCTGATTTTTCAAGAGGGACTGTATGCACATTCAAGTATAATGTGGTGTTGTAGAAATGCCCCCTGACAAAACATTTAAATATTGAGGCATATGCTGTACCTGTACACACTTCAGTTAGGGATTCCTTATCGATGTTAAAACTTGCTACCATTCAACTACATTCTATCTTAATGTTTAGTATATAACTAGCAATATGCTTAGAAATTGTTACATTCTGTACCAACAAGACAGTAATATTTAAAGTTGTGGTGTAGGTGTTGGGTTTCCTGGAAGCAAGTCTCAGCCCAAATAAGAGTGGAATTAATTTTTATTCTTGCTCTACCCTGGCTTCAGTGTAACCTTGCACATAACCCACAGCTTCTGTAGAGAACTGCACCTGGAAATTTGTAATGTTGTCTAGATAGATGACTGAAAATAATTTTTGGTGTAATAAAACAAATACTGAAGTAAAATTTTTTTTACCCCCAATCTTGAAAAAAAGAAATATTGGAATGTTGAGAAAAAGGGTTTAACCAAGCTTGTAAGATACCTCTTTCATAAACTCAGACTCCCAACTTGCTGATGTCCTCTTGTTTTCTCAGAAATACTATCGCTCCCTTCCATCGAATATGTTGACTCCTTCTGGACACTTCTACTCCAACTTTCCACAGGTGGACACCTTCGTTAATCTTCTCTAGCAATTTGTGGACGAGAAATTTTGTGATCCCCAGTAGATTTAGTGATTCCCAATGAATATGGGAAGTGATGGGGTTATTGTGCTCCTGACACTGGTTTCCTTATTCTGGTGGCAAGGTCCCCCTTGAGGGAGGTTCCTTGATGCTGGTGAGGGGTTCTTGATCTAGGGAATTGGATCTGTGTTCCAGTTCCCTGAATTGAGCATGAATACCTTCCATTCCCCCCCCCCCCCACATGTGCTATATAATCCTATGGGTTTAGCACTTCCCCATGATTATAATAATAATGGTGGCAAGGTTTGACCCCAGATACTGAGGGTCTTACAGTGGTGGTTTTTTTGTGCTCCTTTCTCTGATGCTTGGTTACCTTACAATAGGTGGTGAGAATTATGCCTGACTCATACGTATACACATTATTATTAGTTATAATAAAAAAGCAGCACTAAACGTACTAGGATCATACGGCACTGCTATACACAGATATAGCCTCTGTATATATTATGTCTAGTTTACTTTAATCCCTATTTTAAGAATTTAAGCATTCTTGGCTGCTGGTGTGCATTTGACAAAATGTAAATAAAACTTGTTTACCTGGAGAGAGTTCCGGGGGTCAACGCCCCCACGGCCCAGTTTGTGACCAGGCCGCCTGGTGGATCAGAGCCTGATCAACCAGGTTGTTACTGCTGGCTGCACGCAAACCAACGTACGAGCCACAGCCCAGCTGGTCAGGTACCGACTTTAGGTGCTTGTCCAGTGCCAGCTTGAAGACTGCCAGGGGTCTGTTGGTAATCCCCCTTATGTATGCTGGGAGGCAGTTGAACGGTCTCGGGCCCCTGACACTTATTGTATGGTCTCTTTAACGTGCTAGTGACACCCCTGCTTTTCATTGGGGGAATGTTGCATCATCTGCCAAGTCTTTTGCTTTCGTAGTGAGTGATTTTCGTGTGCAAGTTCGGTACTAGTCCCTCCAGGATTTTCCAGGTGTATATAATCGTGTATCTCTCCCGCCTGCATTCCAGGGAATACAGGTTCAGGAACCTCAAGCGCTCCCAGTAATTGAGGTGTTTTATCTCCATTATGCGTGCCATGAAGGTCCTCTGTACATTTTCTAGGTCAGCAATTTCACCTGCCTTGAAAGGTGCTGTTAGTGTGCAGCAATATTCCAGCCTAGATAGAACAAGTGACCTGAAGAGTGTCATCATGGGCTTGGCATCCCTAGTTTTGAAGGTTCTCATTATCCATCCTGTCATTTTTCTAGCAGATGCGATTGATACAATGTTATGGTCCTTGAAGGTGAGATCCTCCGACATGATCACTCCCAGGTCTTTGACGTTGGTGTTTCGCTCTATTTTGTGGCCAGAATTTGTTTTGTACTCTGATGAAGATTTAATTTCCTCGTGTTTACCATATCTGAGTAATTGAAATTTCTCATCGTTGAACTTCATATTGTTTTCTGCAGCCCACTGAAAGATTTGGTTGATGTCCGCCTGGAGCCTTGCAGTGTCTGCAATGGAAGACACTGTCATGCAGATTCGGGTGTCTGCAAAGGAAGACATGGTGCTGCGGCTGACATCCTTGTCTATGTCAGATATGAGGATGAGGAACAAGATGGGAGCGAGTACTGTGCCTTGTGGAACAGCTTTTCACCGTAGCTGCCTCGGACTTTACTCTGTTGACTACTACTCTCTGTGTTGTAGTTGATAGGTTTTCAACTAAACCAAGTCAACCAATATGTGAAAGCTCAAGCATGGTACTAATGCTGTATTGTTAAAAACAATTTAATTAAGATTTTATTTTGATATAATACATAACTTTCTGGCAGTTTTATTAACAAACAAACACCAGTAAACAGTACAGTACTGAAAAATTACACAGGAATATTTTATTCACAAAAATGCTTCAAACCCACACAGGTTACAAAGCGCAGTATAGTAATGGAAGGTGTTTACATGCACATACTCAAACTGTCGAGCCCAGAACCGGTAAGCCAGTGATCGCTGTGGCCACGTCATGCCACTGGCTGCCAAATTTTTTGCAAGTGCCCTTCAACTGTTTTGTCATGGCTTGCCATAAGGTTGACAACACTGAACGGGTCGCCTTGTGGCAAAGACTAGTTGAAGGTGATTTTCTCTGGATGAATAACCCAACAATAATTACATACACAGTATATACTACATGCATACATACATATGAATAGAGAGTATCAGTGATAGGATGGTAAATCACTACAAAGGTTTGTGATATACTTAAGCTACAAAGAAATAGATCATGCTATCTTAATACACTTATTGAACTTTGCTATTTTTTGGATACAATACCCTTACTACTACAAGTTTAATGGATTAAATTGTTTAGCACTTCTTTTTGATTATAATAATGGATTAATTTTATAATCAAATTCTGGAATTATTTTAAATACAGTATTTATATGATGTATGGAAACATGTGGTAATACTTATGACTATAGTTTTATTCGTTCACAGTGGCCCTGTAACAAGTGGTCAGTTTTGTACATTCATATTCAGTCCACAATCTTAATTATCATTAACACACAAAAGTTTATAAATAATATGAGTAAATAAAATGAAAGTTATACTTTGTACATGCTTACCATAATAATAATGCAAATGGAAGCCATCTGATTCAGTAATGCCATAAGAGATTTAAAAAACATAAATGAGGAATTGTTCTTCAAGAGTTACCTGTGGTCCAGTGTTTTTAAGTGTAAAATTTTTTTTCAGCAGTAGATACAAACTGGTTCATATTCCTGCTAATTTACCAGGTTTGTTTGCACCAAATGGAGGGTGAAACATGGAAATTTACAAGGAATTACATTACATTTGCATTAATAGATCATATGTGCAAATAAAAATATATACTGTACCAAAGTTTTAGTAAATAAAACCACTCAGGTTTAGAAGTTAAATCTAATTTGGAACCTTTGCAGGCTGACTAGAGTATGTAAGTTAAATGTCTATACACTTTGGTTTTATGAGATAAAATAAGGAAGTATACTGACTGGTCATACATGACTAGATGAGTAAAAATTATTATAATCAAAAGAAGCGCTAAACCGAGACGAGTAAAAAGCTTAATTTTGGCAACAGTACATACAAAATTGAAATACACTGCATTTTGTAAATATCTCTGGTAATACCAATTAATACACAAATAACACACAGGAGAGAGGAGTTAACGACGATGTTTCAGTGTGACTTTGTAAATGGTCAAAGTCGGATTGAAACGTTGTCATTAGCTCCTCTCTATGTGCAGGTTATCTGTGTATTGTTCCAGTCATGGTATTGTGCCTTTTTGTTCTTCATAATAATTAACCTTTTATCTTTAATATGAAATACAGTGCTAAAGTATTTTATATTATGTAAGATATTTGTCAGAGGCATACTAGTCAAAGTTTGAAACTGCTACTCTTGATTTAGATAGGTAAGATCTCGCTGAGGCAACATAAGGTTCTATACATGACGTGACCCTTGTAGGTTTAGCGCTTCTTTTTTATTAATAATAATAATATACATGATGAGGTGTGTATCTTTGTGTATAGATACAGGTATATACGTATTCTTGACTGCAGGTGAACAGGTGATAAGCAGCCTTAATAACCACTGTGTAGGCAAGAGACTTGAAAGTAAATAACTCAACCAACTTCACTAACTGCCACTAAAGTATATACACTATATTAACTTACAGACAAATGTAAGCAATGTAAGGCACTGAAAACTCATATTTTTTCTTTATACAATCTATATACAAAGAAAGTGATTTTTTTGCATTAAGTTAGCTTTAAAGAATTCCAAAACTTAACTTATTAATTAACATGATGTTCATCATATAAAATATTTTTTATACAGAACTAATAATCAGTGTTAACTTTATTAGTGACTAGTAGAATACTCAATAATGAAGCTCTTTTAGCCTCCATCTCCATTCAGTGGGTACACAGGTGCCAATATATTATTTTGACACCAGAGAATTTTTAGAGAGGCTACAAAAACAGGCCACTTTGAAAACAATTCCTATTGATTGTAGCCTACTTGTTGAACTTCTTGATATCAAGAGAGATTTAAAGTTCAGAAATTGTAGTGAAGGCAATTATCTGAGCATATCTTTCTTCAACCAGTAGATTTTTAAGTTTATATCATTCAATTCTGGATTTATAATACTTGAACCTCCTGATGAGTCAACATAACAATTTATACCCAACAGAGGAGGTCATCATAGTGATTTGGTTAAGGATCAAGTGGTCATTCAAGGAAATGTAGCTACCCTCTCCTTCCATGAATTAATCCCAATTACCTGATTTATCACTTTCCATAAATACAAAATTAATAATCAATACTGGTAATCGGAAAGCGTAGTCTCTGGCTGCCAGAAGGAGTCCCTCAAGTAGTCATGTGAGAGGGAGGTGCTGAGGGGTTGAGGCATGTAGGGGTACTCTAAACCCTCAAGGCTATGCGCCGATGAGTAGATGGCCAAGGTGGAGGAGTGACTGCTGGTGGCAACAGACTGTGGGGAGTAGATACGGTGCTGGAGACGTAAGTTGGGAGGTACATTGGTGACGTTATAAGGTGGAGGGTCGTAGTTCGGGTAAATGGTGTCCACTGGCACAGCAAGTGTGTTGACCAGGTGTCTGATGTAACGGATAGCTAACCTGATGAAGCAAGAACTGTTTGCATATAAGGAAGTACAGAGGCATATACAAATATAAATTTAAAAATACTTCCCTAGTTTTCATAAAAAAAATCACTAAGAAATTAAGCAACAGAAATTGATGTCAGTAATAATAATAATAAATATATTTCTTTTCTGCAGTATGTAGGTAATGTAGTTTACATGTAATACAATATTGTTAGGCACAAAAGAAAGCCAATAACATGCAGTGCATTTTGGGCAGACTAATCATAATGCTGAAAGACTACTAAAGACCTAGAAATGGGTTAGTAAGAAGGAGTTTTTAAATGTACAGTAGTACCTGTATTAGGAGGAACGTTCTATTTTTACTCAATTAATATCAATAAGCAGTACTTCAGCCAATCCTGGCATGCATGATACACAGCTGAGATTCTCTCAAGGGACCACTCAAGAAGGCTCTTTGATGCTAGTGAGAAGCTCTTGATTCAAGGTATTGGACCTGATTTTCCATTCCTTGGATTGAATCTGATTTCCCCCCATTCCTCCAGGCAATCTATGATCTGTATGAGTTTAGTGCCATAAAAATAAAGCAATAATGATCTGTGTATATAAAATAAATAAAATGATACCAAATTTGTTGTCAAAACCAATTCTTCCATCAAAATTTGCTAATACAGACATCATTAAAATTGGTTGATACTGATATAAAAAATTGGTCAGTACTGATACTGATACCCAATACTGATACTTTGGCATGCCCCTAGCAGGCAGGCCTTGAATTATAGGGAAGTAAAGGAAGTAACATCTTACTGTGTTCTAAGTGTTCAAGGAGCGCTTAATCCATAGGGGTTATACAGCACCAGGAAAAACAGAAGATAATCAGGACTGAGGCAAGAAAGGGAAAGTCAAGTACAATTCCTTGGATCCAAAGCCTCCTCATTGGCATCAAGGATCCTCCCTTGATCAAGGGGGACACACTCATTATTTTATCCATGAGGTAATTCAAAACCTGTGATGGTCATGATGTGTCTGAGAAATAAGATGCAATCAGGTTTGATCCAAGGGAAAAATTGCTCAATTTCCTTGAATCAAGAGCCTTCACCAGCTACAAGGTTCAACTCTGAGTATTTCACAGCATCATTTCACTACTCATTCCTGAGCCCAGCACTATTCAGGTAAATACCCTTAATAGTGACACTAAGGCAGGCAGCTGTTCAAATAATTAACATATCCTGAATGACATATTTAATTTTGAATCATTAGTTTTGTCTAGGGATAAAGTAGGAGAGGACCCTGTGACGTGAAAGTAGCTGGCCTTGAAAACTTTTAGTAGGTTGACTTCAGATGTATTTATTCATTTCTTCATTCATTCTCTCTCTCTCTCTCCCCTCTCATCTCTTTCTCCCCTTTCCTTTCTTTCTTCCCCTCTCCTCTCTCTTTCTCCCCTGCTCTCTCTCCTCTCTCTATACTCTCTCTCACACACACATTTTATATATATATATATATATATATATATATATATATATATATATATATATATATATATATATATATATATATATATATATATATATATATATATATAATTTGTATACATGAGAAGTAGACAAAAAGGAGAGACGAATTAACACATTCTCAGCTGGAATGAGGATTTAATTTCAAATATGTAGTAAGTGAAGGAAAGGGGGAGGGGTGCGGTGGTTTACCTGGGCAGGTGGGCCGGCCAGGTGACTCCTGGGTGAGAGGTGAGGGAAGAAATGGAGGGAGAGAATGAAAGAGAAGAGATAGAGGTAAACGCTCTTACATCACCGTGGCTCAGCAAGTATATTAAAACTAGCTTTAATTGTGAATATAACCCGGTGCTCACCACGTGTCCACCATGCACGCAACTTTCACTCTTGTGGAAGGCACAGACAAGTCTCATATTCGCTTAAAATACAATTAATAAGTGAAATTTAAAAATGAAAACTTTTTGTCGATGTATTAGAAGGACTGACCAGTATGTTAAATATAACTAAATAAAAAGGAATAATATTTAGAAATTAAGTAAAACAGTAATAAATCATGAAACAGAGATAAATAAGTGATCTAGAACCAATATTTCAGGTAACAAAGTGGTCGCAGAATATTTTATTACTAAAGACAGTAATAGTCTCTCTTGCTGTTATTATCCTTATTGTAGCTACTGCTAAGTAGTTATTATCCTTATTGTAGCTACTGCTAAGTAGTTATTATCCTTATTGTAGCTACTGCTAAGTAGTTATTAACTCAACAGCTGCTATAAAAATATATGCAACAGCTTCCCTACAAACCTTAATCCCAAATAAGTCACTTCGTCTGACTTTTTTGGGTTATCCTAGGTAATTTACACATATGTTACTACCTGGAGGTTATTCCGGAGATCAACGCCCCCGCGGCCCGGTCCACGACCAGGCCTCCCGGTGGATCAGGGCCTGATCAACTAGGCTGTTACTGCTGGCCGCACGTAGTCCAACGTACGAACCACAGCCCGGCTGATCAGGCACTGACTTAGGTATCTGTCCAGCTCTCTCTTGAAGGCTAGCCAGGGGTTTATTGGTAATTTCCCTTATGCTTGGTGGGAGGCTGTTGAACAGTCTTGGGCCCTGGACACTTATGGTGTTTTCTCTTAAGTGTACTAATGGCACCCCTACTTTTAACTGGGGGTATTTTGCATCGCCTGTGATAATCTGCGTAACTGTATTTACGTGTACCTGTATCCTCTAACAGTCTAGCACAGTTATTATACCTTTCTGCAGGATATCTCAAAGATGACTTTGGTGGTCACGCCCCAGGTCAGGGTCCCAGACCAGGCCTGTATACTGCCTATTATTGAACTTTTTTGTAAGCCTAATTAAAAGTCGTTCAGTGTCATCTTTATCAGTTCCTTCAGTGAATGCCTTGCAGCCATTATGCAGGTGAAGTACTCTTAATCTACGGGACTGGAGCTACGTTCCCTTGAAGATTGAGACACTTGCTACGCTAACCAGTGGCTTTTTCAGTCCAATACAGAGAAAAATGGTGGAAGATGATGAGAATGAGGTAATCAGTCCCTCAGCCTGGAGTCGATGTGTTCAGTCCATCAGTCATGAGAAAAGTACCCTTATCTGGAGACGGCTTCGAGGGTCAACGCCCCCGCGGCCCGGTCTCAGACCAGGCTTCAAAACTGCAGACCATTCCCCGAGCGTAAGACCCCCTACGGGTTTAGAGTTACCCCTTGAATATAATAATGATTTATGCCAACAATAAACTTTCCTACTACACATAACAGTGTGTCCCACATTTGCAACGAACTTTCCCAAAACAACTCTTCTCACGTGAGCTAAAATTTCAGAAATATTAAATGTTTCCCAGAATCTCTCTCCAACATTTATCATTTGGTGTCAACAGCCTGGTTGATGAGACCCTGATCAACCACGAGGCCTGGTCTCGGACCGAGCCGCGGGGGGCGTTGACCCCCGAAACCCTTTCCAGATATACTCCAGGTAACTATAACCCAAATCTAACATCTCACTTTTATTCTAAAACCATTATTTTGTTTTATTTCCACACGTATTCAAGGATCAACCCCCCTCCCCCCCACACCACCTCTGACGAGATCTCAGATACAAGTGATACAATTCTTTGAACTTATCCCTGTCAATATTTTCTGGCCCCTTTAAATGTTTTACTCACTGCTAGTACATCCAACTTCTTTTCATTCATAGGAACATTCTTCTTCCTCCTTATATTTACGTGAAGTGCAAAACCCGTGTGGGTCATTCAGTACAAGAGTTGGAGGCTCGATCCTCCGTCAGCTAACAGCCACTACCTCTACATTACATCCACATATATTAAAACAACCCAACTTTAAAAATCCATCTTTTTCATAATTACAAGTTAATTCAAGTCATCTCTTAATGTTCTATAATCAAAAATATTTTAATGTAATTTTTTTCTAAAAAATACTTAGCCGAAAATTATTTTGTAAGGGAACAGGATATATGGCAGATTTAAGCTTATGGGAAGGCACTCGATCCAAGGAATTGGAGTTGCCCTCCCATTACTCAAATCAAACCTGATTACTTTTAAGGCATATATGACATTACGGGTTTAGAGCTTCCCAATGCGTAATAATAGGAATCGTGGGGTAGTAGTAGTAATAGCTGTGCAGCAGCAGCGCAGCAGCAGCAGCAGCAATAACAGTAATAGTCAGCAGCAGCAGTAGTAATAGTAGTAATAGTAGTTGTTGTAGTAGTAATAGTAGTCGTAGTAATTAACACTTTAAATAAGCCATCGAAATTAAGAGCTTACCATGAATATATCAACTCGTAGGTAGTAAAGAATAACGAGTCACTAATAACAAAGACTGCATATACGATGTTTATAACATGTGAAACATGTACAAACATGTGAAACATGCACAAACACGTGAAACATGTACAAACTGAACGTACAAATGTGAAACATGCACAAACACGTGAAACATGTACAAACATGTGAAACATGCACATACGTGAAACATGACAAACAGTGAAAAGTACAAACATGTAACGTAAAACATAGACAAAGAAAAAATCGACGTATGAGAAAAATATTAAGTGTTTGAAGGCCGTGTGGACACGTTATAAAGCCATGACACACGGATGGCAACACTCTAAGAACTTTACCATTTATCATCTTTATTAATTATATAAAAAGCTGCATAAGGCAAAATAATAAAAGCAACCACAAAGACTATTGTGTCTTGATCTAGATGCGAGGAAAACATTATTATAACTCACAAACAAAATACACAAATATTTATATATACATATTTTCTTTTGTTATGGCAAGCATTATGGGCTAGATGGCGGAAATGCTAATCTGGCCCTTGTGTCCATGGGTCCAGGGGTCAATTTACCTTGTCGGTTAAACACGTGCCTTACATGTATTCCCAAGTCTTGGAAAATCTGTTAAGTACTTTGTTGCAAATATCTGTTAATGTTAGTTTATTTCAAAGTCGTCTGCAGCAATAATTAAATAGTGTAGTAGGACTGTTAAAGTGTTGGTGATTACCAGTGATGTAGTTATCGTAGTCATGGGAAAATGTGAAGTTGATATTCTCACGTGACATCAGAGCGCAGGTGTGTGTTGAACACCTGTGGCGGCTGTGACATGATCACCCGCCCACCTCAGGGGTCTCAGGCCGCCCAGGCTATAGTAGCCCACTTCGGGGGTCTCAGGCCGCCCAGGCTATGGTAGCCCACTTTGGGGGTCTCAGGCCGCCTAGGCTATGGTAGCCCACTTTGGGGGTCTCAGGCCGCCCAGGCTATAGTAGCCCACTTCGGGGGTCTCAGGCCGCCCAGGCTATGGTAGCCCACTTTGGGGGTCTCAGGCCGCCCAGGCTATGGTAGCCCACTTTGGGGGTCTCAGGCCGCCCAGGCTATGGTAGCCCACTTTAGGGTCTCAGGCCGTCCAGGCTATGGTAGCCCACTTCGGGGGTCTCAGGCCGCCCAGGCTATGGTAGCCCACTTCGGGGGTCTCAGGCTGCCCAGGCTATGGTAGCCCACTTCGGGGGTCTCAGGCTGCCCAGGCTATGGTAGCCCACTCGGGGGTCTCAGGCCGCCCAGGCTATGGTAGCCCACTTCGGGGGTCACAGGCCGCCCAGGCTATGGTAGCCCACTTCGGGGGTCTCAGGCTGCCCAGGCTATGGTAACCCACTTTGGGGGTCTCAGGCCGCCCAGCCCATGGTCGCCCACCTCATAGGTCTTATGCCGTCTAATCCATGTTTGACCCTCGGGGGTTTCATGCCGTTCAACCCGTAGCCACCCCTTGGGAGTTTGATGCCGCCCAACCCATGGCAGCCCACCTCGGGGGTCTCAATAACCCCCCACCCAGAGGTAACTCAAGGTTGTTATCGCTGTAACGACCTCTTTCAGACACTTGCGACGTTAGCCTTTGTTAATAATAACTTAACAGAAGTCAATCGATCAGTCACGTTAAGCACTGCTGCCTCTGGCGACACCACGACACTTCGACTGTTTTTTGAGGTATTGGTAAAATAGTACTTTCTAAACTGGGCATTAATTAGGAAGATAACACGACCAGTCATCGTTATTTCACTAATAAAATGTATTCTGTTCTAACTTCAACATGGTTAACATTGTTATATTCATGGGAAGCGCTAAATCACTAGGGCATGGTCATACAGGCGCCTGGGAAAAGAGGGCATTCAGATTCAATCCAAAGGAGGGGGGGGGCACAGGCACAATTCCTTGGATCAAGAGCCCCCTCACCGACATCAAGGAACCTCCATTTCAGGGTATTTAAGCCAATTTCTCGATATACGCTATTGGGACTAGGTTTATATCAATCGAATTTAACCAGTTGCAATGTATATTAACACTAATAAATATGATGCATAATAATAGCGTAGTCTCGCATTAAAAATATCCAGCACCTTTTCTATTATTTAATAGGAAGAAAATGCAGATTCTATAAAATAAACTATGAGAAAAACGTTTCGTACGTTGCTGAGGGATGAAGAGGTTCATTACTGGATAAAAAGTATGGCAGTAGCAGCAGCAATTATCCCTGGTAGTAGTGAGAGAGAGGTAGGACGGGGAGGCTAGCAGGTGCTTGAAGGCAGGGGGAAGGGTTGAGTACTGGGATAGGTAGGAGAAAGGGAGGGAGGGAAAGAGTGAAGGATAGATGAGGGAAGAAGGATAGAGAGAGGAGCGATAAGGTGGGAAGAAGGAGAGGGACGTACGAGAGATAAGGTAAGGAGGCGAGGAACAACAGATGAACTGAAGGAAGATGCTGGGAGAATATAAAGATTGAATGAAAGGAGAGGAAAGGCGGAAGAAGGATGGAAAAGGAATTTGGGGAGAAGGTGAAAGGATAAATAAAGCGTCTGGAGTGGAAGGCAACATGTAGACTGACAGACAGACGGATTTATAGAAACTAAGGTGGAGGAAGAGAGGATATGGGACACCCACACTAGTGTTTGAGGAGATACTGGAGACCTACACTAGTGTTTGAGGAGATACTGGAGACCCACACTAGTGTTTGAGGAGATACTGGAGACCCACACTAGTGTTTGAGGAGATACTGGAGACCCACACTAGTGTTTGAGGAGATACTAGAGACCCACACTAGTGTTAAGGGGAGATATTGGAGACCCACACTAGTGTTTGAGGAGATACTAGAGACCCACACTAGTGTTAAGGGGAGATATTGGAGACCCACACGAGTGTTTGAGGAGATACTGGAGACCCACACTAGTGTTAAGGGGAGATATTGGAGACCCACACTAGTGTTTGAGGAGATACTAGAGACCCACACTAGTGTTTGAGGAGATACTGGAGACCCACACTAGTGTTTGAGGAGATACTGGAGACCCACACTAGTGTTGAGGAGATACTGGAGACCCACACTAGTGTTTGAGGAGATACTGGAGACCCACACTAGTGTTTGAGGAGATACTGGAGACCCACACTAGTGTTAAGGGGAGATATTGGAGACCCACACTAGTGTTTGAGGAGATACTGGAGACCCACACTAGTGTTTGAGGAGATACTGGAGACCCACACTAGTGTTTGAGGAGATACTGGAGACCCACACTAGTGTTTGAGGAGATATGGAGACCACACTAGTGTTTGAGGAGATATGGAGACCCACACTAGTGTTTGAGGAGATATGGAGACCCACACTAGTGTTTGAGGAGATACTGGAGACCCACACTAGTGTTAAGGGGAGATATTGGAGACCCACACTAGTGTTTGAGGAGATACTGGAGACGCACACTAGTGTTTGAGGAGATATTGGAGACCCACACTAGTGTTAAGAGGAGATATTGGAGACCCACACTAGTGTGTTTGAGGAGATATGGAGACCCACACTGTGTTTGGAGGAGCATATTAGAGACCCACACTAGTGTTTGAGGAGATACTGGAGACCCACATAGGTGTTAGTGAGGAATACTGGAGACCACACTAGTGTTAAGGGAGATATTGGAGACCACACTGGTGTTTGAGGAATACTGGAGACCACACTAGTGTTTGAGGAGATACTGGAGACCCACACTAGTGTTAAGGGGAGAATATTGGAGACCACACTAGTGTTATGAGGAGATATTAGAGACCCACACTATTGTGTATGAGGAATATTAGAGACCACACTGGTGTTTGAGGAGATATTAGGACCACACTAGTGTTTGAGGAGATATTGGAGACTCACACTAGTGTTTGAGGAGATATTGGAGACTCACACTAGTGTTTGAGGAGATATTAGAGACCCACACTAGTGTTTGAGGAGATATTGGAGACCCACACTAGTGTTTGAGGAGATATGGAGACCACACTGTGTTTGAGGAGATATTGGAGACCCACACTAGTGTTAAGAGGAGATATTGGAGACCCCACACTAGTGTTAAGAGGAGATATTGGAGAGCCACACTAGTGTTAAGAGGAGATATTGGAGAGCCACACTAGTGTAAGGAGAGGAGATACTGGAGACCCACACTGGTGTTAGGAGAAGAGAGGAGACCAGTATTAGAGACCCACAGTAGTGCGAGGAGACAGCAGACTGGAAACCCACTGGCTGGTGTTAGCTGAGGAATACTGGAGACCAACACTGGTGTTAGCTGAGGAAATATTGGAGACCAACACTGGTGTTAGCTGAGGAATACTGGAGACCAACACTGGTGTTAGCTGAGGAAATATTGGAGACCAACACTGGTGTAGCTGAGGAAATATTGGGGACCAACTGTGTTGAGCTGAAATATTGGAGACCAAACTGTGTAGCTGATGAAATTTGGAGACCAACACTTGGGTAAGCTGAGGAATTATTGGGGACCAACATGGTGTTAACCTGAGAATACTGGAGACAACACTGGTGTTAGCTGAGGAATATTGGAGACCATACACTGGTGTAGCTGAGGGAAGATTTGGAGACAACCCTGGTGTATCTAAGATAATCTTAGGAGACCAAACTGGTTGTAGTGAGGAAATATGGGGACCAACATGGTGTTAGCCGAGGAAATGGAGACCAACACTGGTGTTAGCTGAGGAAATATTGGGGACCAACATTGGTGTTAGCTGAGGAAATATTGGAGACCAACACTCCGGTATTCCTACCTCACCCAAAATATAGGATTTATTTCACTTCAGTATCGGACGCTTCAATCTCTGACACCTAAAAAAAAAAAAGCTATAGATATTTCAACATTTTAGCTACAAACGCTTAGCGTCCAACATTTAAATGACGGATGTCTGCTGGTTCAGCAACAATTTTTAACACCAGAATGCAATAAAAGAGTGGCACAAATAAGCATTAAATTTTCTGCCATGGGCGGAATACAGACAGGTTTACTCACCTCAGAGTCTCCAGCTTAGAAGGGAAGCGATCTCTTCCACTGAAACCAGAGAAATATTCAATAAATATAAATCCTTACGATATCTAACACTAAAATACACTGAATTAAAACATCTCTTAAAGTAGAAGGACCCCAATGGAAATGCAAGGACCCCAATGGAAATGCAAGGACCCCAATGGAAATACATGGACTCCAATGGAAATACATGGACTCCAATGGAAATACATGGACTCCAATGGAAAACATGACTCCAATGGAAATACATGGACTCCAATGGAAATACATGGACTCCAATGGAAATACATGGACTCCAATGGAAATACATGGACTCCAATGGAAATACATGGACTCCAATGGAAATACATGGACTCCAATGGATTATTATTATTATAATAATGGAGAAACGCTAAACCCGTAGGATTATACAGAGCTGTGGGGGTGGAAGGCATTCAGGTTTAATTCAGGGAACTGGAGCACAATCCAATTCCCTAGATCAAGAGCCCCTCACCAGCGTCAAGGAACCTCCCTTGAGGGGGGGACTCCAATAGAAATAAGTCACTTTGATTTTTGGAGTTTTCCTAAGTAATTTACACCGTGATATTTGTACTTGCGCCTAAACAAACTTATTTATTAACACATTTGTAGCATAGATCGATGTGTGTTTTGTTAGCTGCTGTGTTCATCAAACAATTTAATAGGAGTGCGGTCATCAAACCAGATTTATACAGCCTGGGGAGGGGAGCTGGAAAGATTATACAGGCTAATCTCGGGGGGGGGGATGTGGACAAGACATTCCTAAATTCGGGAACGGAGCTACCAAATCAAGACTTCCCTAGGGATCATCAAACACAATCACCAATCACAACAACCTTTCCCTGAGTGACATTTTTCAAACTAAATATTGCAAATACAAGTCTAGACTATGAAACACTGTCACATAAGTTGTGTCTCTTTTTTCAACTTACATATCGCATTGAATAGATAGACCACTGATTATTATTATAAAAAAGAAGCGCTAAGCCACAAGGACTAGACAGCAATGCTCACCTGAGACTGTCGATCTTGTTGCACTTCTTGCCTGGTGGCTTGCAGAAGGGCAGCCTCTCACGCAGTAAGTCGAAGGCGTTGTTCATGTCTCTCATTCTAGTTCTCTCCCGGTCACACGCAGACTTCTTGTAATCTGCAGAAGACACACCTATGTACGTTTTCAGGACAGTTATGAAGAAATATAGAGAGGATGAGAGAGCCTGAGTCACCACCATTAAAGTATTGTTGTTGCTGTTTAAGGGATGCGACTTAGGGAGCAGTATCGGCCTCATATAATATCGTGCTCAATAGGTTAAATTGGTCAATTAGCAAGAACTCACTTAAAATTAAGTCCTTTCTAAAATTTTCTAAAATTCGGACCCTTTCGGTCCGAATTGGACTATAAACTAGTCACACAGAAGCATTAAGGGAAGAGAACCAGTATATATAAGGGAGAAAGGCGGGGACAGAAGTAGAACGAGGTGAGGTAGTAGATAGGTTAGGTCAGGTAAGGTTCGTCAGGAAACAGGACAAGTGTTTCCTGACGCGGGTCTTAAACAGATGACGACCCGCCGTTGGAACTTTTGGTCATCTGATCGAGGCCTTCCTCTGGCTTACCGGTCCACCCCTTTAAAAATTATGATCATAGCTATAACTTATTTTGTTGTAGGTAGTAGACATTATGTATACCTTCCCTGGAGAGCTTCTCGTGGACACGCTGTGAGCGCCCCCTGCCGCCCCTGGAACCTGGACCAGAGCGAGGTTGTATATCCTCACCCAGTATACTGCTCACACCTGACAATTATCATTATTATAATTATGATCATCGCCATTATTATTATTATCACATTATTATTATATTAACTAAAGCGCTAAACCTTATAGAGTCCTGCATTTATACCTGGCAATACATGAACCTTCAACAACGCCTCTTCAGAAACACGTATAATAATTTGGCTATAATTCCTGATCCGTGGGTCTACATGTGGATATTAATAAAAGTACCATAAACATAGACTAATGATCAGGTAATTGATAATCTCACATGGGCTAACACACCAAGTGGGAAATTAATTTCGGTTAGAGAAACGCTACTGTCCTGATCATGGTCTCTGATATGTGTACATGTATATTTATATATATTTTTTTTAATGAGCCGGCCGCATACCACCGAGGCAGTGTAACCTAAAAAGAAAAACAAACGTTTATCTTTTTAAACTTAGTAATTTATACAGGAGAAGGGGTTACTAGCCCCTTGCTCCCGGCATTTTACTCGCTTACGACAAGCATGGCTTACGGAGGAAGAATTCTTCTCTACATCTCCATGGAGCCATATGCACAAACTGACACTACACGTTGTTAAACCATCAGTAGACTTTATAAATGAAACTTCACTTACTGGTGCAGGTGGAGGTGACGACAGGAAGATGGGAACGAGAGAGAGACCTGGGCAAGGAGCAGCCGGCCATGCTGGTGTGTGGGTAGCCTGGCAGGCTCCCAGACCCGCCTCCCACACCACTCTGCTCAGCGTACCTGTACGTGGAACAGCATATTTGTAGTAAAAATGACATACACGCTGAAAAATGAGAGATCACTTGACAAGAAACACAGATGAAAAGAGATTTGTCGATTTCGGCCTCAATCATGTGTCCTCTTCAGCAGATTTGCTGACGAAAGCATCTAACTAAAACCAAAACTTACAGATCTTTCTCGCTCGAGTTTCTTTTTTTTTTGTCCAAGTGATTTCTCACTTTTGTATATACTAATATGTTGAAGATCATTATTAATATACTCGTGGGTAAGCGCTAAACCTATAGGAGTCATCCAGTGCGTGGGAAATGGGAACCAACAAGGGCTGCTGTAATTCCTCATGTCAAGAGGCCGCCACTTAATATGGTATAGAGCACTGCGATATATATATATATATATAATATATAATATATATATATATATATATAATATATATTTTATATATATATATATATATATATATATATATATATATTATATATATATTTATATATATGTCGTGCCGAATAGGCAGAACTTGCGATCTTGGCTTAAATAGCAAAGCTCATCTTGCCATATAGGACAAGCGAAAATTTGTGTTTGCAATAATTTCGCCAAAATCATTCTGAACCTAACGAAAAAAATATATTTCACTGTGTTTGTTTAGTATTAAATTATTGTAAACAAATCTAAAATATATTTAGTTGGGTTAGGCTAAAATAAATTGTTCTTGTTATAATAAGGTTAGGTAAGTTTTCTAAGATTCTTTTGGTGCAAAACTAAAATTTTTGCATTAACATTAATGAAAATTTTTATCTTTAAACGTATAAGAGAACATTTTAGAAAGGACTTAATTTTAAATGAGTTCTTGCTAATTGACCAGTTTACCTATTCGGCACGACATATATTTTATATATATATATATATATATATATATATATTATATATTATATATATATATATATATAGAGAGAGAGAGAGAGAGAGAGGAGAGAGAGAGAAGCGTTTGACCGTCAAAATGGCGGACTCACTCTAAGTCAGGCGACTGCAAACTCTCTGTACATTTTAGAGAGGAATTGAGGAGTGGGAGGTAACAATTAAATAATTAATAATAAAAATAATAATAACAGCTAATAATATTAATAACACTGGTCAACAATGGTTTCAATTCACGTTTAGAAAAACGGTGTTTTTAACTAACTTTTGGGACGCCGAATTCAAATCCGGACTTAGTTTTGTTTCAAGATTGCAGTTTATATAGGGTGTCCTGTAGGACTCAGCTCACTCACTTGAGGTCCGGAGTTCGAATCTCCGGAACGGCTGGAAAACATTAGGACGTGTTTTCAGAAGACACCTGCTGTCCCAGTTCACCCATCAGTAAAACAGGTACCTGGGTGTTAGTGGACTGGTGTGGGTCGAATCCTGGGACAAAACTGACCTAATTTACCCGAAATGCTCAGCATAACAAGGGACTTTCTACATAGTAGTATGTCATTGATGTCAGTTATGGTTTGTATACCTTGTACATGTACTTGTAGAAATAAAGATATTATTATTATTATTATTATTATTATTATTATTATTATTATTATTATTATTATTATTATTATTATTATTATTATACGAAGTAGAACTCCCACGGTGAACGACTGCACCAAGACAGACATCATGGAGAAGATACATCAGGCAAACCTGACGATCAATTTAATGGTCGACTACTGCTGGACAATATGGCTGGACACATACTGAGCACAAGTGAAAGAGAAAACCCTGAAGACTGTGCTGTAAATATGTCCGTATGAGTGTATGAATTTTTTTACTGTTTGTGTTATGCGTATACATGCTAAATTTATGCTCAGAATGATTAGTTTTTGTAACTGTATGAACCACATTTGATGAATATGCAAAATATATGATGGTTAGGTAAGGTTACATGTGGTTCTTCAACCTTAAATAGTAAAAATATGATATAAAATTTAAAAAAAATTACGCGATGGGCTAAATAATTCAGATTTGACTTGCTCAAATTTAAACTTTAATAATTATTTGCTTTTAGTTGAAAAGTTTATTTTGTGGCTATGTGATTCAGCTAACTATGTTTTTAACAGCTGCTGTGTATAATCCAAAATTAACAACATAATAGGCTAACTATTATCAGTTTATTTTATACCCTTACCAGGCTAAAGAGGGGTAATTCCCTTTCCCTCCTGGTAAAGGGATTACCCTTTTCACTCCTGGTAGGGGAAATTTCCCCTTTTCCCCGGCTTGGTAAAGGGTTAAAATGATTACTAATAGTATAACTCGCAAAACTTTAATTGTAGCACTAACAAAGTCTAACACTAGCATATTCTAACACTATCACTAACACACTAACAACAAAACTCAGAACACTAGCAACAACACTAATAAACTAACGTCAACACTAATAAACTAACGTCAACACTAATAAACTAACGACAACACAAATACACTCGAAACAAGAACACTAACCATATTTAACAACGGTGGTAATAAATTCTAACAGCAACGCCAACAACACATCGTAATAACACATTCCTGTTATTACGATTTCGTGAGTCGTGACTTAGCAAGAGAGGGCTGACCTGAGGGCGTACTCTTGGGAGTAGGTATGTAGGGCTGGCATGATGTGGCTATGAACGGAGTCTGGGGGCGTCAGCAGCGTTGTGGGCGGACTGATGGTCTGGTAGGGGCCCAGGCCGCCAACACTGTCCATGTATAGCGGCTCGTGGCCGTAAGACAGGCTGGAAGCTGTGGGCGGGGAGGGCTGCATGGTGGGTGGCTGTCCTGGGTAAGGTGGGATGTACACTGATGATGTCACAGTCCTGTAGGAGAGAGTTAAGAATGAAAAATGCTATGGGGATACCGACAAGATGTGAAAAAACAGACACATCTGTACAGTATATTTCGCCACAAAACATTTCCCCGAATAAATGTCCTCAATTATCCATAAGTTTACTTGTCCACAAGATTCTTACCTCAGCTGAGGTATGATTGTTGTCGTAGTGGTTATTAGTGAGGAAAGAAGGGAAGTGGCTCCTGACACGGGGCTTTATCAGATGGTGGCGAAAACAGGAGAAATGTATCTCTGGATACATGCCGAAAATATCCTTGCACGACAGGACTCGTAGCAATGGATTCGAATTGGACAAAGATTTAGAAAGGGTTCAGGGAAGCACTAGTTAAGCAACAGAGTTGTAGATGAGTGGAACAAACTTCCAAGTTGTGTCACTGGAACGAGAATTTTGGATAGCTTTAAATGTAGGTTGGATGGGTATATGGGTACCCGTGTTCCTTCATTCTTGTGTTCAACAGCTGGTTTATCCCACTTAGATTTACACCACTTTTAAAAAACAATGGCTTACTACCTAACAGAAAAGAGAAGTCTGGAGTTTACCTGGAGAGGGTTTCGGGGGTCAACGCCCCCGAGGCTCGGTCTGAGACCAGGCTGTTGTTAGTTTATTCGCCAGAGATAATACTCTGACAAGAAACTTTTTTTCATATAAGCTTTCCCGTTCATTGGTGCTACCCCATGGCAGGGCAGTCGAAGGAGAATAGTATTAAATGATCTTTAGCTGCTCACCAAGATTACTATTATACTAAAATAACATGTGCTGAAGCTGTATTACGTCTTATGGCAGGGAGAAGCATAGAAAAATGAAAATGGACAAAGAGAAGTGGATTGTAGGGCGCAATGTCATACAGCAACACTGGTAGCTTCATGCATTAACACCGTGCGGTACAAACCTGAGTGTGGTGTAGGAGGGCGGGGGATCGAAGGAGTGTGCTGGTGGAGGGTCAGAGGACAACGAAGTGAGGGGATCAGGTCCCCGGAACGCCTCTCCGACCCTGCTGAAGGCGCTCTCGATGCTTGGCAGCTTGGCGGCGGTGATGGGGGTCAGGTCGCTACTGCCGATGGTGTCCTCGCTGCGGAAGAGCTCCGAGGACGGCAGCCCCAGACTCTCACTGCTGCTACCACCGGAGATATCCAGGACGCCCGAGTCCACTGATATATTCCCCGCTGGGGAGGGCGAGGACGGCACCACAGGGGCGGTCCTGGCCAGTAGAGGATCCCCTCGAGGTCCCCCGGGGCTAAAGTCCACAGGAGCGTCCTGAGGGGCGCTGTTCTTGTACGTGTAAGTGAGGCTGTCGTTCTGGGTGTTTGTTTTGTCAACACTGGAAGCGGCGGTGACTACTGGAAGAGTGATAACTCGACCGTGATGTCGAAGCTGGATGATATCTCCACGCCCTGGGATGCGTGTGATGTTACTCTCAGAGTCAGGGAAGAAATGCACCTCCACGGCGTTCTCTGGCAAGATCAGACCACCTGCTACTTTGCTGACTTCTTCTCCGATTCCACTGTTATTGCTAACACTACTGCTACAGCTATTATTGCTGCTATTTTTACTGTTGTTTGTTGTTATCACTGTAGTTGAGACTTTTACCACAGGTCTGCTATTGGTGGTTGTGGTGGTGGTGCTGCAGGAGGTACTAGTGCTCCTATTGTTAACTCTAGCACTGTTGGTGCTTTTGGAGGTGGGAGTATTGGTGGTAGTGATAATGCGAGTAACAGGGCGAGTCTTGAGAGTAACTAATGAGGAGTCGCGTCCTGCTCCTCCTTCTGCTGAAGATTTCACAAACTTTTGAAACTTAGGCATGATGACCCGACGAAAGGACTGACCTCCACCCTCACCTGCAAAGTGATATAAATAAAACTAAAGAAACATATTTAGGTGAATTAGACACGGGACTTCTGCAGCCAAATGAGGAATTCAACGAGTAGTCATCATCATGTGGTGAGTTCTGCGTATTTTGAATGACTGTATAAAATCAGTCATATAAATTAGCTGAGAGCAAGTCACGGTGCATATATTGTTTATGTCTGGGCAATATATACCTATAATAATAGTTATAAATAATAATAATGCGGCCAAATGAGGAGACCATTGACATACAAGATATAAGAAATGAAAATACTATCTGAAATATCTGAAAATTAAGCAGTAAAATCAGATGAGAATATCTCACTGGGGTTTAAAAAAAATGTGTTGGGAACTAGACTGCCTACTCCGAATTATTGCCAAGAAATCAATAAAATACGAAAAATCAACGTACATAAACACACACACACAAAAAAAACGTACACACATAACATTATGATTCGACTTGACTCGATTATTGCACATATGGGGGAGCGCTAAACCTGTAACAGTCATACAGCACCTGATAATTGGGAGGCAGTCAGATTCACTCAAAGGAAAGGGAGGGATACCTCCCATTATTTTTAATCAAGAGCCCTTCACCGGCATCAAGGCCCCTCGCTGGAGGAGTACCTTCACCGGCATCAAGGCCCCTCCCTGGAGGAGTACCTTCGCCGGCATCAAGACCCCTCCCTGGAGGAGTATCTTCATCGGCATCAAGGCCCTTCCCTGGAGGAGTACCTTCACCGGCATCAAGGCCCCTCCCTGGAGGAGTACCCTCACCGGCATCAAGGCCCCTCCCTGGAGGAGTACCTTCACCGGCATCAAGACCCCTCCCTGGAGGAGTACCTTCACCGGCATCAAGGCCCCTCCCTGGAGGAGTACCTTCACCGGCATCAAGGCCCCTCCCTGGAGGAGTACCCTCACCGGCATCAAGGCCCCTCCCTGGAGGAGTACCTTCACCGGCATCAAGGCCCCTTCCTGGAGGAGTACCTTCACCGGCATCAAGGCCCCTCCTGGAGGAGTACCCCACACGGCATCAAGGCCCCTCCCTGGAGGAGTACCTCACCGGCATCAAGGCCCCTTCCTGGAGGAGTACCTTCACCGGCATCAAGACCCCTCCCCGGAGGAGTACCTTCACCGGCATCAAGGCCCTCCCTGGAGGAGTACCTTCACCGGCATCAAGGACCCTCCCTGGAGGAGTACCTTCACCGGCATCAAGGCCCCTCCCTGGAGGAGTACCTTCACCGGCATCAAGGCCCCTTCCTGGAGGAGTACACACACAACACACATAACAAGTATTAGCGGTCAAGTGACTAAATCAGATTCTAAGTTACCATCAATTAATGGACTGTAAACTGTGCTGGACAACAGGTGTGCGGGGCGCCATCAGATAAGAAACATTAAAATTAAATTGTGTCGTAGTGAGCGTGAGAGAGTAAGGGAGTCCATGGGAACGACAGGAACGACATGGGAACCATAGGAACAACATGGGAACTACAGGTACGACATGGGAACCACAGGAACAACATGGGAACTACAGGTACGACATGGGAACCACAGGAACAACATGGGAACAACAGGTACGACATGGGAACCACAGGAACAACATGGGAACCACAGGAACAACATGGGAACTACAGGAACGACATGGGAACCATAGGAACAACATGGGAACGACAGGAACGACATGGGAACCATAGGAACAACATGGGAACTACAGGTACGACATGGGAACCACAGGAACAACATGGGAACGACAGGAACGACATGGGAACCACAGGAACAACATGGGAACCACAGGAACAACATGGGAACCACAGAACAACATGGGAACCACAGAACAACATGGGAACTACAGGAACGACTGGGAACCATAGGAACAACATGGGAACGACAGGAACGACATGGGAACCCATAGGACAACATGGGAACTACAGGTACGACATGGGAACCACAGGAACAACATGGGAACCAGGTTACGACATGGGAACCACAGGAACAACATGGGAACCACAGGAACAACATGGGAACCACAGGAACAACTGGGAACCACAGGACAAACATGGGAACTACAGGAACGACATGGGAACCATAGGAACAACATGGGAACGACAGGTACGACATGGGAACCACAGGAACAACATGGGAACGACAGGTACGACATGGGAACCACAGGAAAACAATGGGAACGACAGGAACGACATGGAGACATAGGGACAACATGGGAACGACAGGTACGACATGGGAACCACAGGAACAACATGGGAACGACAGGAACGACATGGGAACCACAGGAACAACATGGGAACCACAGGAACGACATGGGAACTACAGGAACAACATGGGAACCACAGGAACAACATGGGAACTACAGGAACGACATGGGAACTACAGGAACAACATGGGAACCACAGGAACAACATGGGAACTACAGGAACGACATGGGAACTACAGGAACAACATGGGAACGACAGGAACGACATGGGAACGCTCACCGTCCATATCCAGGAGCTCTGTCGAGAAGCTAGTTGGTTAAAGGGGGTTTAAAGCCTTTCAACTACACGAGGGTCAATGAGGCTGCATACAACCAGTCAAGAATATTTTATTCCTTAAAAAACGGATTAGAATAAAATCTCATTGTACGTACACTGAGAGACATACACAACACGCTGTATGTCTCAGTATAATGATGTATTCTGCACACCCAATGGTGTATGTATATCCTTCATGTAGGATAGTATAGGAGAAGGCTTAGTGCCCTCCACTTCAGCTACAAACTCCCCTTGAAAAAGCGATGGTGTAGTTTCTCTGGCATATATTAAACCCAACCTGGGTACTGAATAGAAAAGGTGGTATCAGAGTTCATGCAAAGAGAATTAACCATTATTACGAACGTTACTGCGAAGATCACCATCATTACTGATGGAAGTGACCGGTGACCCACAACCTTGGAGGTGATAAATAACCTACTTCACAGGAGAATACAGAGGCTTCTCCCCAAAGTTATTTGTATAAATATATATTCTAGCAAAAAAAAAAAAAAACACTCACTCTGAACGTGTTGGCTCGGATTTATCCTCTTTTCTGCAACACTGCAAGCTCCTGATGATGTGTTGATTGCAATACGAAAGGGCCATAAAAATATTTAAAATATATATAAAAATAAAATAAATTATAATATTATAATAAAAATTTTTAATATTAATATATATATTATAATATATACTTACGTGCTGTTGGGGTGTGAGCAAATAAATTTTGAAGGGATTCAGGGAAAACCCGGGGGCCGGACTTTTCCGGAGATGGGGGAATACAGTGCCTGCACTCTGAAGGAGGGGTGTTAATGTTCAGTTTAAAAACTGTAGTGTAAAGCACCCTTCTGCAAGACAGGGGATGAAGATGGGGAAATTTTTTTTTTTCGGGCCAACCCCCCGCCTTTGGGAAACGGCCAGTGGATAATAGAAAAAAAAAAAAAATAATTATTATAATATATTTTAAAAATAATAATTTTTAAAAATATTAAAAGTAAGTAACACCGTTTAAGTGGAAAGGGAAAGGGGGGGGTAAGATGAGAGAGAGGGAGGGGCAGGGGAGGGTGAGTGTGGCTGGGGGGTGAGGGTGTAGGGAAGGAAAAAAAGGGAAGAGGGGGAGGTTGAAAAAGGGGGGGGGTGGGGGGTAGGGGGTAGGGGGTGGGGGGAGTGTGGGGGAAGGGGGGTGAGGGGGAGTCTGAGGGGGGACTGGTTCCCATTAATTTACCAACACCTCAAAACGAGTAACACCCCCACACATCCACCACAACTATCACACCACCACCAGCATCACCAACCACCACCACAGCTATCACCCAAACCACCCCACAGCTAATCACCACCCCCCACCAAGCTATCACCACCACCACCACAGCTATCACCACCACCACCACAAACTATCACCACCACAACTATCACACCACCTCTATCACCACCACCACAACTGACAACCAAACCACAACTGTCACCACCACCACAACTATCACCACCACCTCTATCACCACAAACCACAACTATCACCACCACCACCACAACTATCACCACCACCTCTATCAACACCACCACAATATCACCACCACCACAACTTTACAACCACACTATCACCACCCCACAACTATTACCCCCACCACAACAATTACCACCAAACTATCGCCACCACAACTATCACCACCACCAAAATTATCACCACCAAAATTACTATAAACCACCACCACAACAATCACCCCCATCATACTATCACCACCAAAAAATTCTATCACCACCCCCAATTTTATCACCCCCAAAATTACATCACCACCACCACAACTATCACCACCATCATATCTATCACCACCAAAATTACTATCACCACCACCACAACTATCACCACCATCATATCTATCACCAAATTAACTATCACCACCCACAACTATCACCATCATATCTATCACCACCAAAATTACTATCACCACCACCACAACTATCACCACCACCCCCACCACAATCACCGCCACCACCACCACAACTACCACCACTGATGCTACCACAACTTGCAAGGGGGTAACCGAACAATTTGTCCAGCAAAGATTTTCAATAAAGGGAAAAAATCAACGAATCAGGCCAGAAAAACGAGCGTTCGTTATTTATTTTGTTACTGTAGTCACAGGGAGCCATGGAGCCATGGAGCCAGGGAGCCAGGAAGCCAGGGAGCCAGGGAGCCAGGGAGCCATGGAGCCAGGGAGCCATGGAGCCAGGGAGCCAGGGAGCCATGGAGCCAGGGAGCCAGGAAGCCAGGGAGCCAGGGAGCCAGGGAGCCAGGGAGCCAGGAAGCCAGGGAGCCATGGAGCCATGGAGCCATGGAGCCAGGGAGCCATGGAGCCATGGAGCCATGGAGCCAGGGAGCCAGGGAGCCATGGAGCCATGGAGCCGGGGGAGCCAGGAAGCCAGGGAGCCAGGGAGCCATGGAGCCATGGAGCCATGGA